GTTGGATAAGGATCTGAACCACATGATATTGGAATTTCAATACCCTAGAGTACTTCAATGTGGGTGAGAGTAAAAGGATGTGTCTCCAGGTGTAGAGTGACTAGGGCATACTGAATCCCAAACCCGGGCCACAGGAAACTGACATCCATGCGGGGGTAGGATGAGGATCATATCATCCATGAGTCAACAACAATCCAAAATCCAGACACCAGGAACTGAAATCCACGAGGGGGTAAAAAAGAGGATCATATCAACAGCAAGTCAACAACAATCCAAAACCCAGGCCACCGGGAACCAACATCCATGTGGGGGTAGGAAAGAGGATCATACCATCTTCACCTGAAGTTCAACAGACAAAAGGGGATTTTGTACCATCCGATCTATGAACAGGACACATGATAGCAATGTGAGAAATTGATTGGCCGATCTGGGAACCCAACTTCCGGTATCGTAATGATGTCTTTGTGATGTAAATCATCTCACCTAAAACCAAACTGAGAGAAACCGCTTCTAGCACAATAACATCCTTGGTATAATAAAAGTATAGAGGGATAGCATAAGAGGAAGAACTGTATTAATCTGCAAGTACCCCCATCGTGATCCTCAACATGGATGGAGGAACAAGAGTATAATTGAGTGAGGAAATAGAGACACCTGTAATACATGTGTGAGGACTTATGTTGATTGGTTCAGCTCTAAGTCTAAAACCCAGCCACTTGTTAAGCCTAATCAATCAGTGCAGGACAAAGTATATCACTAAGCTCTAAATTAAAAACCCTAATCTAAAAATAAGTATGTACAATATTGGGAGGAGTTTGTGCTGACCACAGCTTAAGGGTTCCACACAAACCAAGTTAATATGAAGAAGTATAAAAGATAAATAAAAATGAAAATTAAATAGACATTTTGTAAAATTAAGTAAGTGTGTATTAACAATAACATATGTATGAGATGTGATGTATGGAAGAAAAACAATATAGTTAAACTAATGATTGATATACTGATAAGATGAATTACTGGTAATCCTAAAATGACAAAGACCCATGGTAAGCCCAAGCAAATGGTATATGACAAAGGATACAACTAAACCTAATTTCGAACCTGAACTTAACTACGAGTATAGACCAATCTAATGAAACTTGTGTTCTGGAACCCAAATAACTACAGATAATAATAATATTAATAACAAAAGTATTAAAAAACAAAAACAGTATAACGTCTTACATTTCTAAAGTCAGCAAACTGTATTTCAAAATGTGTGGGCCCCCAAACTTGAGTTGAGGCCTGACAAAGGTCAGCTCATTGGACGATCAGTCTCCCAATGAAGTAAAGCCGATAATTTCCCCATGGAGTACCATCACCTAAAGCCCATGTAAATGTGCTGATAGAACATATAACCTCCAAAGTGGTAACTTAGAATTCATAATTGAAAATGAATAACCAAACATAACTGTGTTTGCAGAAAGAAATATAAAATAATTTGACTTTGGAATAACCCAACAAGTTACAAATATCACTATTATATAATAATAAATAGTAAGCTTGTTGAGAGATTTTTGATACAAAGATAGGGGGAAGAAAAAAAAACTTGAAGAGAGCACAAACTAAACGTTACAACACAAGCACTGCCAAACGAGAAGTGATAATTTGGTAGAATCGAATAGATGGAGTCACATGCATCAGGAGAGTATGTCGCACTTTTTTTGGTGGAGGGTTTTCGCATGATGATTTGCATATGAATCAGTCAGCTGTAAGGTACGTGTAAGCTCAAAGCTTGTGACATGCTAAAAAAGTTTTTTCGCATATAGAGGGTAGCACTGAACGAGAATAGCTATGTGAGAAGAGGTAGTGTACCATATCAGAAACTATATTGCAGTTACAGCCTATTTATACATAATGGATCATGGTATGTTTTTTCTTTATTTTGTATGATATAAACTACAATACAGAAGAAAATATATGTTGTTTTTATTTTGTAACCTTAATAAAATGATTGATATTTGCAAACTTTAATACTATATTAATACTAGATTTATTAATTTTGTTACTGTCCACTGAAAATTGATTAATACATTTAAGAGATCAAAGAGTTGGAGGTTTGATACATTCCAGTGCCTGTCACAACTTTCACTAGAACACAAATTCAGAAAAGTAGCAGGTTTGGTGTTTAATTAATACAAACATAACACACATACACACAATGTAAACTCATTTATAAAGTACACTATAACATAATGTAAAAGAACAGTAAATGTACACTTTATCTAAAACTTAAATAGCCCAAGAGATGATGATGGGAGCAAATCAGCCATTTGCTTTCTCTCTGGTCAGTAATTTGAAATTAAAGAAGGCAGTAGATAGTCTTAGTAGCTTAACCCTCACTGAATAACAAAGAAACAAATATAATGTTCCCTATGGATGAAAGGGTGAGCAGGTTTGGTGGCAAAGGAAATCAAACCCAAGAACCTCGCATCACAAGGCAGCCCCCTTAATCATTCTGGGCCATATCAGCCTGAAAGCAGAACAAACTTGAAATAAAAAATAATAATAATAATTAAAAATCCTAATGGCAATATTTCAATTACTTGGATAGTTGGAGTCATCAATAGTAATAATAACTGAAACTAAATCTTATTACTTAATTATTTTTGTGAGTTATGACACTAATGATTAAGCTAAACAAACTTGAATTAATTAATTGATCCTCATAATAACAGTTATATCAATTACAATGAAACTTTGATAATGTAAAAGCATTTATAATGTAGTAGTTCTTCCAGATTATTAAGACATTTAGATAGTCAACTCAGTCACTTTGAATACAATGGGCACTATTAACCCTGTCACTATGGGCAGATCTAAGTGCATGTCACAACTTTTTTAGAGTTACATTCAAAATTTAATTAAACTACTTTATTATTATTGTATACAAATAAATTTTAATGTTATATAAATTTAAAAAAAATCCTCAATCTCCCATAGCATGAGAATTGTGACATTTGCTCTCTAGATCTTCCCTCTACTATAATTTATTTACCACCCATCTGAGAAGTACGAATTTGAAGGTAAGTTACTTACTACAATATATTTATTACTCAGGCAATCCATAATTTTTATAGCCTTCAATCTTTTTTTTTTATAGAGCCATAAACTAGAAAACCCAATCCACTAGCCACATCAACCTGTTACATCCTATCTTTCACAAATTGCTAACAGTTCTTTCTGATGTTTTATACTAAATTATATATAACCAATAGGAATTCAAAGTTTAATCTATCTAATGATGTATCATATAACATTGTTTTTTGTACAGAGAATTGTCTATTTTGCCTTCACTCAAGTTTTTCTCACAAGAATCACATCAAGAAGTTTAGCTGAATTTTTAAAGGTTCTTATCAAAAGCCAGAAACATTATGACAGTTATAGGTGTTTGCCTTATGTGTTATTATTATTCTGTGTTCTTAGGTATATTATTTAATTAAATAAAACTTATTTAGTGTAGTGTAAAAAAGAAGGCTTCAGTTTCATCAACAAAGCAACAGCAAAAAAACAGGAGGTCCAAGAAGTACTATATTTATCTTTTGTGTGTTCTTTATTATTATAAAGTAACTAAACTTTAAAAATTAGAAACTTATTAGATTAGATAAGATTAGATTTGGTCAAATAATGAAGAAAAAAAAAAATTCACAAGGTATGCTCACAAACAGCTCATACATTACGTAATTTAATACAGCAACATAAGCTCCATGTTTGCCAAGTGATTTACAACTTGTGTGGTGGGATAATTTGTTAGATACAGTTCAAAGAAAAATAAAACAATAAAATTAAGTATAAACAGATGTATACTGTTACGAACTTTAAGCTATTTAGGATAACCAACTGTAGTTTCCTGTTACAATTTGTAATTAATCTATAAGGAAAAAGGGTAATTTAGCTTTAATTTCTAACTTTTTATAATAATTACAAGGTGGACAAATCGACCCCATTTCTACATATCCTTGTTATGGAGCACTGTGACTTGACATGACTGTAGCATAAATCACTCTGTTGACCTATCCTTATATCTGTTATAGTTCACAAGTACACCCCTACTATGAAAGTCTTTCTCAGAATTGTCATAAAATGATACCCACTGCTAGTGAACACTGTTCTCAGAAAACCATTACCTATTGCAAATGCAGGTGTTTTACAATCAATAATTATTACCTCATTTCCTATCCCGATCAACCTCTACTAGACTCTCATATATTCATGTTTGTTATAAAAAATAGCTGTGTGATTTGGAAAGCAAATATATATAGATTAGTGATCAAACTTCCTGTTGTGAAAATTTGTGTATATAAAAAGCCATCCAGACTGTTGATGTCTATACTAACAAGAACTCAATGTAATAAAATTATTTTCCCAACTTTAGAGGTGGGAATATCTGAACGAGGAATAAACTTCATCAGTGGGCCATGATGCTCTTAAAAATGAAACTTATCTACTTTCTTTAAAGGTCAAAATCAATGTTGCTATGACAAAAATGCACCCACAAAGTACATTCTCTTTGTTGTTGATCATCTAAAAAAAAAGTATGGGAACATAAGAGTTTCTGCATTAGCTGAAAAGCTATCCTCACATAAGGTAAAGTAGTAAATAATGCAACTATTATATAAAACAATAAAAAAGTTCAACGATTAAATAAGTTACAGAAAGTAACACCTCAGGTTGAATTTTGCACAAAACCTCAACCAAACTTAGCTAGTTCTAGAATTACAATTAAGAAGCATTTCAAATATTTTTTAGATATGAAACAAACAGTAGAGGACAATAACATATGTAGTATTTGCACATCACACTACAAGTAGGCTTTAGTTTGATTATATACGTATTATGTAAATTAAATAACAGTTTAACACAAAATCTCACATTATGTTTAGTATTTTTCTGAAGATTTAAATTTAACAATCATAAACACTACTGAAATAATGTACTTTTAACTAGTTATACACACATACCTGGTATTACTTTATAAAGCATAGTCAATGTATCATCAGATGTCAAAGCTGTAACTTGCAAGTTGTTTACTCCTTGGACCTCACCAGAGAGAGCTGTCAACTCATGAAAGTGTGTGGCAAACAAGCAGTAACAGCCAACTTTGGTAGCAACATGTCTATAAAGCAAAGTTATTGCAATACACCAAACACTTATTAATTCTTTATAGTCAGATGGTATTGAATTATTACATTATTATTGTGTCAATCATACCAGAACTGGTTTCCATCATACAATTATAATGAACCCTGACTTAAAAGTGGTTGAAGATAAAGATCATTTTAAAATATTACAAAAGTTCTAAGCCTGTAATTTTAAAAGGAAAAAAAAAACCTACAGAAAGAAATGTTGAAAAGTATATTCTTCTAACCATCATTTTATTTTTTGAATGGAAATCTTATTCTGAAATTTATTAAAATAAATTCTAATATATCCTTTTAAACACTTTGAAATAAGAAATTGTGAAAATACAGAATATTATTACTCTTACAGATTAAGCAGCTCGTAATTGTGCATTTATCTGTAATGAATTTTATACTCATTAATTGAGAAAGTTAATGCGATTAGCACTTTTGTTGACAATAATGATAAATATTTTGTTATTGAATAATGTTCTTAAAACTAAAAAAAACTGAAAATACTTATTCGTAATGACTTTTCAGACTAACCCAACCTTTATGTTGCTCCTATGTTACATAAAAATCCTATAAACCTTTAATTTAATTGTTTACAATTCTGTTAAAACTGTTATAATATTGCAACAGGCAAAACAAACATTTCCCTTTAGTTAACACAGGTGAGCTTTTCAAATTCACCAAGAGTTTCCAAAATCTTTCACATTTACGTGCATTCAGACAAAAGTAGGTATAACATATAGTAAGACTAGTATCAACTAATCAATGTTGAAGGGTTTTTGTTTTTGCTTTTTTAAATTGAAATATGGATATTTTATGTTAAATATTGTATTTCTGTACTTCTTTTTATAAGTATTCTAAAACTGTTATTATTAACTGAATGGGCAAATTTCAAATTTATATGAAACTTTTAGTAAAATGTACAAGTTTGTTGTACACAAAAATTCAGATGTTATAAAAGTATTTGTACCCAAGATACGTCTGTGAATTTATGATATCATTCTAACTCAGATTTTGACAAATCAGAATGCTAGGTAATTATTCGTGTGAAGAATAAAAATACTTTTGTGTATTGACAAGTTTGCATATTGCATAACCCTAGAACCTCCAAAATGTGTATCTACAGTTTTTCAGCATCCATGGGTACTGTATTTGGTATTTACTCTTCTCTACCACAAACAGTTGCTGAATCAGCAATGTAGAGTAAAAGGAATAGTTAATAAATAATAATACATAAATAATATCATGTTGAATAGCACTCTAGAAAAGGCTATGACATACAAACCTTGACCCCACCTGAGCAAACAGGATTAAAGTATTTATCTCCATATTTTCAACAGAATTTGAAAATGAATCTTAATACGAGTCTTCATTATGTATTGTATTTTATAATTGTTAACATTTAAGTTCTAGTACAAGGTATTGATTTTCTTTTATTGTATTTCTGTATTTGTATTGTTTATCTGTGTTAAAGAAAACTTGCATACATTTTACATCTCTGTATTGTGTTCTAGTCAATTACTGATTTTTGTGATGCTGTATAAGCTAAATTGACTAATGTAGATTATAATGATCATTTTAAAGTTTTTTATTTTAATATAATTTTGATTATTTTTGTTAAGGATTGTGGTTGATTGTATTGTCTATGTGCCTCCATACAAGTTTTTGACAAAGACAGAGCAAAATACTACCAATGCATAACTGGTACATATATTCCTGTTTTTTTAATATGATTAGATTCTAAATTTTAAAGTTAGGGAATACCAAGTTGGAATGATGGGAAATGGTAACCAATCACCTACAAATACAAAAAAACACTGTATAAATATATGATCTTCTGTATGAAAAAATTAAAAATTATACTAACAGATTACCAGAAAAAGAACTGTCATTCATAGCAGTTGTGACTTACAGTGTTTAAATAATTTACACAAATCTTCAGTTGCTTTGTTATGATTTTATAATTAACATACTAAGATACATTTAAATGTTTATTATATTGTTTGGTAGATTTTTGGAAGATACCTTTGTCGTTTCTTTCTTTAATGTAAATAACTATAAAAACTCATTTAATCTTGTACACTTAATTTCACCTTGTTCAATAATCAGGATTATAAAAAAACAAATTGGCATACCAAAAGGATCAAACTGTTCATCCAGTGTAGTTAGCCTTTTTGAAAATGAAAATCAATGTTTTAGTATTACTACTGACTTATACTCTTGCATCTTTTAGTATACAGATGATTTAATTTATTACAACAATGTTGAATTTGTTGAAGCTATTTCTAATGTACTAATGTTGTTAATTATTTGATATTCTCACGTGCACTCATTTCGAATTGGTAAGAACAGTAGTCATTATAAAAATATAAAAAGGTTTAGCAGGAAATGTATTATGGTGCTAAACTGAATTCATTATCTCAGTTTTATTAGTAAGCACCCAAAACATATTAATGTAAACTTCCCAATTACTTTAATTCATTAATTATACTCAAATATTCTTTATTGTATTATTATTTTATTAGGAATATAAAAAAATATTTTGATATAAACAAATGTAGATTTTTGAATCATACAAATTGTTCAGATTTTAATAAACCTGTTTTTTAACAATTGTTGCTCACTAACTGGGAATTTACTTTAATGGTAATTACATTTAAAAGCAAATTGATCAAGTTGCTGAAAATTAACTATAAGATGCTTTTATTAACTGTAATTTTTTTCCAGAAGACAATTAAAGATCTTATTTAGATTATTTTCTAATTACCATGTAAACCAGATAATTCAAACAAAGGTACATTTCCTTGCAACAGATAACTCTTTAGTTTGTAAAACTAAAGATATCATTTATGTAAATTCTGAATTTTCTTCTAATGTAAGATATGTTATGTATTTTTTATACAGTACACTGTGCACTTTTAACTAACAAGACAGGTAAAGTTTCATTAAGAATGAAGTACTTTAAAGCTTAATTCCCAAGATTGCTGATTACCATATTTCTCTCATTAATTCTCCAAACTCTTTAACTCTCTCACTATGGGTTTAGTTAATTTGGCTGAGTTTGTGATCCCAAATTGACCTTAGAGTTTTGATACTATAACTTCTTGTATGTTTTGTGTATCTTCACAAAATTTTGCAAGTCTTTTGACTGAAGTATCTTTACTAAAAATTTCTCTCTGAAAATATTGTAAAAGTGTTAACTGTTCTGCGTGAAAAGTGACTTCCATGTTCAGATTAAAAATACTTTTCTTCATCTGAAAAATCCCAAATTTCATTTGCATAACCTCTAAAACCTCCTAAGTAAATTTCAAACGTTTTTTCTCAGTAAAACTTTACATTTTGTCTGAACTTTTCTCTATGCTAACTCCATATGAATTCGGTCTATTTGAACAACCTCGTAACCACCATAAAAAAAATCTAACTTACACTTTTTGTATTTCTAGAATGACGGCAAATTGTAATAGGAAACTACAGCTGTATATCCTAAATAGCTTAATGCTCATTATGTTATGCATCTGCTTCTATTTAAATGTTATTGTTTTATTGCATTTTGAACTGCCTAACTGATAATCCCACAATAAAAGTTGTAAATCAATCAGTGAATGTGTAGCCCATATCAGATTACATAATGCACGAGCTGCTCCCTCCTAAAGAATTATTATTATTATTCATTTTCTTACCTATTCTAACCTAATAAGCTTCTACTTTTTCCATTTTAGTTACTTTTATAAGAAATAAAAAATATACATGAAAAACAAGAAATACACTACTTTCAGGGTTTTTTGCTGTCCACTGTTGATGAAACTTAACCCTAATTTGTTTTCTATACTAATGGTACTACTACACTAAATACTTTTTACTTAATCAAATAAAGCCCCTAAGAGCAAAGAATAATAATATGTAAAAAGCAAACAATGTCCTATAACTATCATAATTTTTCTGGTTTTCTGACTATGTGAAAAAAGCTATTAGAAATTCAACTAAGCTTGTTGACGTGTTTTCTACGGGAATAAAGTTTGAACTGGAAGCAAAATAGACAATGCTCTGTACAGAAAACAATGTAATATAATGTATCATTTGATAGATAACACTTTGGCTTTCTATTGGTTATAAACAATATAGTATTAAACATCAGAGAGAACTATTAACAATTCCTGAAAGAGAGGATGTGACAGGTGGGTGTGCCAAGTAATAACTAAATTATAAGGAATAGTTTATATTAAATTACATACTTCTTGGAGGGCTAATAAATAAATTACAGAAGAGAGAAGACCTAGAGAGCAAATGTCCCAATTCTCATTGCAGGGGAGATTGAGAATTTTTTAAATATATTTTTTATAAAATTAAGAACTTAATCTTACACAATATTAAAATTTGATTTATTATATATGTTTGATGTCAATTTTTTTCATATGTCATGGTAATAAAATAGTTTAATTAAATTTTGAATGTGACTAAAAATTTATGACATGCACTTTGACCTGCCCAAGGTGAAAGGGTTATTTCACTTTATTCTACAGCTGGACATGACTGATCCTGTAAATAAAAAAAATTTAATGTTTTTTTTTTTAAAGATAGGAGATTTAAACTTAACATAAGGGTTCCTGAAAGCATGCATAGAATATTTGGCTCTTGTAACATTGATTTTCTCTCTTTTTTTTCACACGTTTAACAGGACAAGTTTGATACTTGTTTGGAGCTTTAGATGTTTTCTTATTTTTAATTCTACTTGTTTAAGGCTTTTTACCTTTTATACATTACATTGTGATTGGATCTGAATTTTACTATTTTATTAAGTTTTTCTTTTTAACAGCTTTTTCCTACTTTTGTATTTTTAATTTTGAAGGTTGTTGAAGAGTGAATTTCAAGTCACAAAACCAGCTAAGTATTATCATTTGCAACAGGTTTTTTTTAAATTATTAAATTACCTTAGGTAATATATTGTAATATAACAGAGAAAGAAGGTGTAATGTGTAACATGCATATAAATATCATCAATATAGTCTTCATATCTGGTCATTATCTTTTATTACCTGTCACTGTTCCTTATATTAAAACCTTAATTAGACTTATGGTACTGTGTAAGATAAAGTACATTTAAGTGACATTTTTCTTACAGCAGAGTAAAATATAGTTTTAAACATATTTCCAGGTGTTGTTGGATAGTAATTTGTTTATTTTTGAATATTAACCACTATTAAAAAGGAATTTCTTTTTTTGCCACTTTAATTTTCTTTTAATGATGGCAAAATGGAGAAAAAAGAATGAAAAAGTAAACTTGGTACAAGATGAGAAAATTAAAATTAAGAAAAAATTACAATGACTAAATAAAAATGGACAAAAATTATGGCTTTCTTGTTTAAATAATCTAAAAACAAAACACGACTTAGATGTTTCTTAACTTAAAAAACGAGTGTAAACTTACTCTGAAACAGACCAAGCCAAACCAAATCCATCATATGTGGATGTCCCCCTTCCTAACTCATCAATGATAATAAGAGAATCGGAGGTAACAGACTGAAGTCATAAAGAAATATGAATCATTATTGTTTGTTACAAAAAAATTAACCGTATCAAGATAAAAAATATTCAGTATTACTAATGAAAGTTTATTACACTTAAAAACATATTACAGACTAAAGTAAATTGCATGGAGACTATCAAATAATCTCAGAAATTATCTGATATAGTATTTACTGCCAAACTTACATAAGTTAATGTTGACCATCCCTAGCTTATGTAACAATTGCAAGGCATTAAACTCATTTGTTACTCTTCCAGAAGTTATCAACTGAATAATAAAACAGTATTAAACACATAAAATGCTCCTACTCATCACATAATTAGTTTAGGATCAGAATAATCCCCAAAATAAAACAAATTCTTGATAGTTATTGCTGATTATTAAGTTATCCAAACACTTATTATTCATATCTATTAGATATTTACTTCAAATCTTTCTTCCTATCACTAAAAAACAATTGAATTGTGTTTCTGAAATAGTTTTTTTTCTTCTTCAGTTGAAAGAATAGAAATTTCAGGAAAATATGTAAAATGGGTGGGAAAAGCTATTGCACGATCCTAATTTAATAACAATGATAAAACTATTTAGAATAAGTGGTGAGGTGTCTAGAGGATAGCCTTGGGTTTTAAGTTCCTTCAGGTGGATTCTAAGCACATTTTGGGTGTTTTATTTGTTTTATTTTCATACTTAAATTGTCTTTCCATTAATACCTCTAGTGTAATGTCAACTTCCAGATGATAAATCTTGATCTGCCTAGAGCTCATGTTAATATTTTTACATTTTTAGAATTAAAATTAATTTCAAACAGGTACTTGCCTCTGAATAACTGAATGACTTTCCTTTTTGGAGTTGCTCTCATGCTGTCAAAATCAATGTGACTCAAATTTCTGAATGTCCTTGGCACAACGTAAAGTATACGTTAAATTACTCATAATTTTCCACACTCTTATCTTCCATGCGACTTGTTATCCATGCATTAATAGATCTTAAGTAAGCTATGCTTTCCCTAATAACTCAGATTTCTAAGTTTCAGCCATGAAAGAAAATTATATATCATCATAAGTAGGTGGGGAGAATATATTTCAGAGTTAAGTACTTGTTTGAAATTAATATAGTCTAAAAATGTATAATACAAATCATGCAGACTTAACTTTAAAATACTGGAAGGTAGAATACATATAATGAAAAGAAGGTTCAAGAGAGTATTAAGAAAAGACAAAATAGACTGTAAGGCAGGGATGTTATATCCTAGGACACACAAAAGATTTGGTCAAGTAAAATTGCAGTAGAATCCAAAAACAAATATTCAAGAACTGGAAACAAGAGAATGAGTAGAACAGACCAGCCTTATGTCAAGAATGAACCTATAGACAACCACAGGAAAACATTCTTCTCACCACTCTGGTCACTTTTTAGTTGGTTAAGGTGATAATGTCCTTACATATGGAGCCAAAATTGGAAGTAGAGATGGTGGTACAAATAGGTAGGATAAGTACAATGATAGAAGGTGCTTGGAGGAGCAGCCCAACCAAAAAGTATGAGCAAACATACTACTATGGCTTTTAGCCCCTCCTCACCCATTTCTGAAAAGACCAGTGAGTGACAAAACCAGTCAAATAAGTTGCAGCTCAGGAATAATCACAGAAAGACCCAAGCTATCCACTGATAGCATTCACCAACATGAGGACTGTGCAGTTGGAACATCAAAAGTTTAAACAAAAATAAAAACACTGATGCTCTCCATCTTGGAAAGTATGCATTCAAAAGAGAATAACTCATCTGCTATAGATTCAATTAGACTTGGAGAACAATCATAGGCAGTAAACAGAAGCTGAATAGACAGCAATGTGATGTAAGTAAAATTGCAGAAATATATGTGGATTTATCCACATATTGCCTGGTAAAATGTCCTCTAATGGGTATAGAGATCGGTAAGCCAAAGACATTGCAAAATGGTGAATGTGATATGACGTAACATGAAATTCACTTTTAAGAAGTACAGATACATCACAATATTCATGATAGATTAGCTGTAAATGCCAAATTATTAGTTAAGTGAAACAAGGATCATTGTAAGGTATAACCTACCTATTTCAAGACCCTCTGAAAGATTATGTTTGTGCAATACAGCAATAAACAGCCCTGACTGGACATAAAAAACACCATTCTTTCGAATAACAACTAGCATCTGTTACAGTAGGTAACAAAATTGGTGAAAAAATCAGTAGTTACTTTTTCTTGCAACCCAAGTCTTTATATAAGAAGGCTCTAACAGGATATAAGTATAGTCTTTCTAGGTAAAAAAAACAAAAAAAAAAGTATGAGAAGTACTAAGAGCTTAAGTGTCAGATCCTCTCCTACCTCAAGTGAATAATAGAAGTAAATATATCTTTGGTGGTAGATAGTAGAGAAAGAAGTCACTTAAAGTTCAAATGGAAGAGAAGTGAAACATCATAAGTTAAGGCCAAGTCAAGTCTGATTGAAGACAGTTCCAAGGTACTTAATGACAAAGTAAGTAAAAGGCTTAAAAAATATAAAAAAATAATGTGAAAGAGAGAGGAAGTTGATTCCTGTGGCATCTAAAGATGGCAAAGAGGGCAGCTCTGTAGCCCACAACAGAAGAATCAGACAAGACGTGATCTTGAAATAAGAACATGAAAAATGAAGCAACTTGTTGAGGAGTTTGAGAAAAATGAGAAACAATTTCTACAGTATTAATGGCTGAAGATAGTCCAGCAAGATTGGTAGCTGACAGAGAATGACAAAAATTAAAAGGCAGCAAGAATTAAAGTAAATTTTTTGATCACTTATTATGTGAAAACTATAAACAGCAGAATAAATGACAAATTAAAAAAATAGTATTTTAAAATAACAATGTGAAAATGCATAATATTCTTAACAACCATTGTATCATCACTATACCAATTCATTTTTATAACAAGATATTGATAAAAACATTATTAAATTTTACAGAACTATAATGAAACTATACAAATTTATGGTTTTAATTGAGTGAGCAGTACATTTGTAGAGCTAAACAATTTAATCCACTACATATGAGAAATGATTATATCAATCAGCATCACATAAAGTAATAAACTATTTTAAATTAATGTTTCTGATTATAACTCTTTCAATTATTACAGAAAATAATCAAAATTTCAATTATATCGAGCGTCAAAAAATAATCAACTAACAGAAATTAGGGTTTCCAACTGTTGCTATTGTTAACATTTTCCTTACTGAAAATGTAACTATTTTACTCTTGAAATCACACTATTCTGTCTTAGAGGCCTCCACATGCAGCAAAACCCTCCACTAACAGGAGTGCAACACACTTCTCTGTGCAAATGCTCCCACTACATTTACATGCAAAAATCCTCATTCTTTAACAAGAATATCAATAAAAGTGCATCAGGAAAGTGGGGAGGAAGGGTGGGAATGTGTACACAGGTGATTATCTATCGGAAATACATTTTCTGGTAAGAAAAATGTTAATTTCTGATACAATGACTCACTTCCATACAAAAAAAAATAAATAATAATGATAAATAAAATATCAGCTAGAATTCCACACTGAGGTGGTGGAGGGACAGGTACAGAATTTACCTAGATGATCCTTCTTTCCAGAACACCAAAAGAAACACCCTATAGCAGGATCTCCATAGGGGCACACCCATGGTAGGCTGCATCTCATCTCAATCTGCACATGCAAAATTGTAGGTGTAGATGAAGCAAGGATCATTGTAATATATAAACAACTTATTTCAAGACCCTCTGAAAGATTATGTGTGCAGGATCTCCATAGGGGCACACCCATGGTAGGCTGCATCTCATCTCAATCTGCACATGCCAAATTGTAGGTGTAAATGAAGCAAGGATCATTGTAATATATAAACAACTTATTTCAAGACCCTCTGAAAGATTATGTGTGTGCAATACATCAATGAATGGTCCTGATAAGACATAAAAAAAACACCATTATTTTGAACAACAACTAGCATCTCTCAGGGTAGGTAACACAATTGGTGAAAATCAGTGGCTACCTTCTCTCAGTTTCACAACAATAAACATACTTTTAAAATTGAGGAAGTTTCCAACATCTCTGCCATGAAAGTTGAAACTCCTTTTAACTGCCTGTCTTCTGCACCAACTCTAGCCAAGACTGCATCTACCACTGATATACGTGCTTCTTCACTGGGAACAAAACAGCCTATCTGTGCCATCAGAATGTTCAGAGCCACCTGTTATGAAAACACACACTTCATCATTTTTTTGCTCCATCACTAAAGAAACACATATTTCAAATAATTCTTTTCATTAGATTTGAAAAAAGAACTTTCAACACAAACACTAGTTTAAATTAATGATGTCAACAGTTTCAGTCAGAGAAATAGAAACTTGAACTCACTGTCAAAACAGGTCATTTGATAGATTTATATGAAACAATAATTTTCAATGAACTCAATACTTACTCAAAGTGAATTCAATATCAGAGAATCAACAGAAATTTTGTGGTGTAAATTACACAACCTATTTCTAAATAGAGATGGGAGGGTTTGCTGGTGTTAATGCAGTTTTGGAAAAACGTATATTATTTTCTTACACAAAATAACATATATTCATTAGAACCATAAAAGTTTATAATGAGTTAAACCTCCTTCTTATAAAGCTCCCTGTGCATGTTTTACTCCTGATGAGAGTGTAGAGCTGCTAAGACATAGGATCGTTTATTGTGCTTTTATGAACATTGTTCCCACTTTTTATTTTATTTAATAAGATATTTTGTTTAATGACATTGTTTCAATATGATAAACATAAAATAATATTCAATAAATAAGGAGATGAGTCATTGGAATATTGTATCATACTCGCAAAACCTAACTCAGCTTACCTGATGCCTTGTTATAAAAACAAATTTCTGTAGCTTCCAAATACATAATTTAAAGCAAGAATATTTTCAGGAAAGAAAAGAACATCTTAAAAAACTATAAAAAAAAACTCAAATTGACTAATCTGTAGTTTGCTTCTAACTAATTCTTCTAAATTTCCCATTAGATTCTGCTTTAATTCCTTAGAGGAGCTGGTCTTGTCACTTTCCCATGAAACCAAAATTTACTTCTCACACAACTTTATTAACTTTACATTGACCTAACTAATTCATCATATACTCTATCAAATCACATAACTTTATCTGTGGCTGTATTCAAAGCTAAGCTTTATTAGTTGTTCATATAGCATGCTAAGACAGAGGATGGAAAGGAGAGGCTTAACTAATAAAATCAGTGAAAGAGAAGGAAAAACCACATAAATAAAGGTAATTATTTATATGAGATAATAGTTTCTTAAGAAATATTAACAGTTCTTACTGCTCATGACATGTTAAAATGTTCTATGTAAATTAAGAAAATTAACATTCATTTGTGTTTGTTTATATATACTTTCACCAAAACCTGTTATTTTAGATAAGGAATGAAATGCAAAAACTTACTGAGCGAATATAAGTTGACTTTCCACTCATGTTGGGACCCGTAATAATATGAAAGATACTTTTGCCTTAAGAAAAGTTAACAAACAAGTATCAATATTACAAGCTGAGCAAAACATCAAATATCATTATTTAGTTGAAATACAGCTTATTATTACTATTCACTCTTCATTTAAAAAAATAATATAAGATATTTAAAAACTTATTCTGAGTTCTACAGAATGAACCAGAGGAATACAAGGGAGTGATCAAAAAGATGTCATTACATATTTTTCAATAACTTTTAACACATTTTAATCTATAATTTATATCAGCATTTGCTCAATTTTAAATTATATTACGAATAAAAGAATTAGTAGCTACTAGAATTAAAAGATAGCAACATACATGAAAAATAAATATGATTGTAAAATGATATGTATATATAAGAAAAAAATATTTTATTTTTTATTACAATAAATAATATAAGTTCCTGTGATATTTTTAATACAAAAGAATGCATATTTTCATAACATGATTACCCAGATACTCAATCTTTTACAAATTATTTTACCTTGTTCAAAGTTTACATCATTTGGAATGAAAGAAACATTTTCTTGCAACTCCATACAAGGATGACGAGCTTGTTTTAAACTAATAATTCCTGAACCTACAGGAAAAGAGGGTAAAAAACGAATTGGGTTATGATTGTTTTACATCAAGACCAAAAAGTTAGCATTCAGCCTTAAAAGCTTTTATTTACTGAAAACAAAAGGAAAACGTAAGATCAAATTTGGGGTCAAGGGATCCTGATAAGCAAAGAACTTAATTATTTGTGTTGTAAAGGAATTAAGTAAAGTTGTTTTGAATTTCCTGAGGTGAAGGGCTAAAGGATGTTAAAATATCCTTCAACAAAACCAAAAAAGAAAAAATGAAATCTAGTATCAAAATGATTCCTTTCCTAAGCTTGTGTAGTGCAATTATTATAACTTTCCCACAGAGTTTATCTTAATACTGGCTCCAAGAATACAATGGGAGAGGATTTATCAGTGGTTGCAATGAGAATTGTCTGAAGTAATAAAAATGTGAGAAAATATTTGTAATATGGCTCTGCGTAAAGTTAGGGCCGAATTAATAAATTTTGTAGGTATTTGAATGTTAGTTACACTGCCATGGTGGTTGAAATTTAGATGTATAAGCATACGAAGTTAGTGCTTAAGAACATGTAAGTATATTATTACAATTTGCTCATATATACTAAATTTTTAGTTATTTTTCTTAAAACATAACACAATTAATAAAAAACATAACATAATAAATAAAGAACATATAGAAAAACAATGATACCTAGTATTTACAAGGTTACAAAACTGACTTGTACTCACACACTGTATTTGCTAAGCCTTGCCATAAGCCTCATTTATTCTTCCAAGTGAATGGGAAGGACAAATTTATTTTTGTAGATTTCAAATAAGCATTACATAAAAATAAAAAAATTATCAAATTACTATAATGGTGCACATAAAACCACTGTAATTTACCTGACTTTCTAACTAAGCTGTATGCAAGTTAAAAAACAACTCATTTCTGTTCAGAGCAGTAACTTACTCCATAGACTTCAATATTTCCAGTCAATTACAAGTTTCCCTTTAAGCCAATTACAAAAGACTTTTAGATTTACATAGTTTGGAAAGTGCTCTTTCTATTTATTATAAACATGTACTTACAACACTTATAAGTGACTGGATAAGAGGTTTCAAATGAATAGAATAGTGGGCCGGTCGACCCGCCATAGGTTTGCAAAATATAAATATTGATATCTCAGGAAATCAAGAAGATGGGAAGTTCTTATTTTATATTCTAGTTTGTATATGTCTAAAGTTTAAGTTTATAATTCATTAACCACTTTAGATATTGTACAATAGGCGTAATAAAATATAAAGAGCAATAAGACAAGAAAGCATGTCATATGACACACAAAAAGCATAATAATGGCTGGAGACGGCTTGAATGGGTAATGAAGAAAAACTTTAATATAACAGCAAATGTACAATGTTTCGACAAGGTTCTGTCATCATCAGGCACCTGTAGAAGTGCCTGCATGATGTGTTTGAAAACGATAAAGAGGTTATCAGGCACAAGATGGAGTGCCCATTAAGACACAATGAGCCTTAAAAATAGAGTACAAAGCCATAACACAAGTCCTCGCTTCCATTACAAATGATGACTCTGAAAATCCTCAAGTGCACTTAAGAGTCAAGAAGTATTATGCTACAACTGAAACAGGTATAATGATGGAATTATGAAGAGTTATCCTAAAGAGGTTTCACAAGCTGTTCATTACAAAACTCCCAAATGGATATCAATATATCTTCTCATCTGCTAAAATCTCTCAAGACATTCGTGCAGGTAGTACAAGATTCATTTTCTTAATATGAGAAAAAGGATAAACAACTGCTAGTATCAACAATGTGCCAAAACAGGCTAAATGCACTGGCTCTTCTGTGCATAGAAAATAACTTTTTAGAATCACCAGATAAATCATATATGTTTTTCTTACAAAAAAGCCAGGAAGACAGTAGTTCAACCAAGTACATATGACATGATCTGATACTGCTGCTGGGCATACTATGAGAGTACCAGTGTGATCTCAGCATGCTTGTTGGTGCAATGGTTTGTGTGCATGTGAATTGTTGAGTTTGTGTTTATGTCTTTTTTTCTGTTTATATGAGAGTCATGGGTTTGAATCCCCATCACACCAAACATACTCATTCTTTCAGCCATGGGGGTGTTATAATGTGACAGTCAATTTCACTATTCATTGTTAAAAGAGTAGCCCAAGATGAATTGGCAGTGGGTGGTGTTGACTAGCTGCCTAGCCTATCACGGCAAAGTTAGGAATGGCTAGTGCAGACAGCCCTAGTGTAGCTTTGTAAAAAATTCAAACCAATCCTGTTTACATACTTTGTTGTCAAAATGCAAATTTTGTCTGTGTTAAATCACCATTTTTCCTATTCAAGAAACATCTAATAATGTTCATTAATCTGTAGATGAGTCTCACAAATATGGATATTATTTTCCCATTGTCTCCAAAAAGTACAACATATCATGAGGTTTAGTTTTTTACCTTAGTCTTTAATCACAATCATAATATGCCTGGTAGAAAAATTTAGCCCATGGTCCATCTGACCCTTAATCCACCCCCGAAAAAGGAATAATTAATAATAGATACAGAAATTAATTTGGACAAATGATAGATCAGAATTCTAAAAACATAATTATAACTGAATCTCATAAATGTGTAGGTAATTTCTCCCCTGTGATGAAGAAACAAAACATAAAGACCATAAACTCCTTAAGAAATAATAAACATGTTGTTAGTTGTAAAGAGGATGCAGGAGGGCAAATTTTAGTAATTAATGAATAGGAATATGTTATATGGATGGAAGAGCTATTAGAGAAGGATAAATATGAAAAACATAAGCATAACCCTACAAATAAGTATCATGAATATCATGCAAAAACAGGCGTTCAACACAATTTAACGTTAACAGATGAAGGGAAGAATAGGGTTAATTCCAGCTAGTTTTATTACTCCAAAATTTTATGTACTTCCAAAAATACATAATATTGATAACAGTTTTAGATCATTAGTATCAAGTAGAGGTACATTATCATATCAAATAACCAAGCATATAGCTCAGTAGTATTCTTTTTTGAGAAATAAAAATAAATATATAGTTAAAAATGCTTTAGAATATGTAGAGAAAATAAAAAATGTAAAGTTAATTAAGGAAGATTTGCTGACATTCTTTAAAGCAGTGTTGTCATTTACAGTAGAAGATGCAGTGTCAAAATAAATTGTTAGAAAATAAAATTATAGGTGTAATTAATTTTGTAAAGGTATGTGTGAAGAATCCATTTTTACAAGTTAACAATTTTTATAAACAAAATGAAAGGTTAGCAATAGGAACTCAATTTTCACCATTGTTATGTGACTTATATATGGATGCATTTGAATAAAAGCCATAAATGGAGCAAAATGTAAGACTAATATTTAGATAAGATATGCAGATGAAACATTCTTGGTGTAGAGCAGTGGTTCTCAAACTTTATACAGTCTGAGCGCACTTACAATACTACAGATACTTGCTGGCGCACTGTATATAAAACAGGACTAATATGTTATAATTAAGTTAAATATATAGAAAAATAATGCATTTAATAAAAGCAAACTTAACATACTTCTATGAAGTTTATTCATTCCTGTGTTAATGAGAAAAATGAGCTTGATGAGACCTTGCGATTTCTTCAATGTTTGAGAGACAAACTCTCATTTCCTCATCAATGCATTGAAGAGTTCCTCTCTTTTTACACTTAATTGTGGTGAGGGTTGAAAATCCCAGTTCACATAAATATGAGGTGGAAAATTGCAATAAAATGGCCAGTGCTTTTTTAGATATCGACACATGTTCTTCTTTGATAGAAATCCAAAAAGCTTCAAGAGACAATTCTTTGTATTTAATCATCAATCCACAATCAGTGGACATAGCTGCCAGTTCTTTTTCTGTTAGCATTAAACTAGAATCTATTGCAGTTTCTAATCCAGTATCAATTAACACTGCGCAATATGGGGAAAATAATAACTC